AAAAAAAAAAAAAAAAAAAAACGGAAAAATAAACAACAAAAGAAAAAAAAAAGAACAAGAAAAAAATTTAAAAAATGAAGCGGAAGTTGAATATTTCTCGGTTATTATTATTATTATTATTGTTCATATTATTATTATTTATTATCTATGATTATTATTACTATTATTGTTGTTATCATTATTAATTTATATTATTATTATTATTAAGATTCAGCGACTGCAGAAAAAATAACTCACAGCAATGCAGTCAGGGTTTTTTTTATAGAAGAGAGAAGAAAAAGGGGACGACAAAGCTTATCGTTCTAATTATTGAACGTCACAGTTCAATTATTTGATGAATCCTGCACTAATTATTTTACCTCTTATTTGGTAATTCCCAATAGATTTTTTTTCTTCTTTTTTTTGTTATTTTGCCTTTATTCTGATATGACGTTAGTGGTATCAAGCGCGACTGAAGACAAGCTGGTTGCTTGAAGTTGGAACTGAGAGATAATAATCAGCTGAATGTTATTCGCTTTCTTCTCTTTACTACCCGCTTCTTTTGTAATTAAATTTGCAATGAAGAAACCATCATTTGGCGTCAGTATGCTAAAGGGGTTGCCAGTAATCTAAATGAGAGGAAAAAAAAAACAGACACCAAAAAAGTGTTGCTAGCTGACTAGCCAAGTGTGAATAAAAGAGGTTTTTTCTTGCACTTTTTATACGTTGGGTCACAACCGGATACATAAATGCTGACACATTACAGACACAAATAAGCACAAATTTTTGATCAGTATAAACTTTCTACTAAACTAACCTTTGTGACGGCAGCAACAGCAATAGTCCAACTTTTTCAAGTGCACAACCTTTTCTCTTCCTCATCTTTCAACTCTCTCTAAATTTTTTCTCCTGAAGTCACACAAAATTTTTTATTCCGTAGCTAAAAAAAAGTAGTTCTCACATATGTAATTGGTTTTCAAAATACATTATAAATGGATCGGGAACAAAGACAAAAACAAAACCAGTGTTTTTTTTTGAATATTTTTATTTGTTTAGCTATTAATTTTTCTCATTAGATTGGCAATGATCGTTAGAAAAACTGTGTCTTACATAATAGCAAATATATCACACTAATACAGCAAGAGTTAAGATAGTGAATTAGTAATTATAGAAATTCAATTTCTGTACACTGCTTCGTAATGAATTTTTTTCTTTTGGTTAGCTCTTTCAACTCACTTGGCTTTTGATATGCATCTAATTTGCTCTAAAACAATTTATATTGGTTGCTTGATGCTTATGTTCAGACAGTCGAGAAGAAAAATGGAGAAAGAATAAATAAAGTAAGAATAGAAAAAGATACCGGAAATAGTCTTTTCTAGTGTGTTTTTATCTGCATGTGTGTATGCCTCTCAGAATTTTTAACATTTTTCCAGCTTCATTATTTTCTTTCGTGGATGACGTTTTAAAAACTTCGGAAATGATGACAAAAAGCGAAAGGCAAAGGACATCTGTATATAAACTGTTTTCAGTGTTCTTCTTTTTTAGAAGATTTTTCTCCGACTTCATTTTCTTTAATCTTATTTTAGTAATAAAACTTACAATAACAGTGTTTTCCTTTTTTTTGATTTTTTTTTGGTGATATAACTGCTGATGTTGTTAATGCTCCTGCTGCCGCTTTCATATTCTTGTCAATGCCTTAAGATTGCATTTGGACTCTTAAATTTGTTCAAAAAAAGCCTCTTAAGAGGATTTTCGTCTTGTTTATTAATAAAACGAGTAAAAATTCACCCTGTTAATGATGTTCTTAACACTTTTAGAGATCGGAGATCAGCTGACAAGCCGAAAGAAATGGTGTAGTAATCTAATTTAGAACTAATTTAGAACTTTTTAACTAAAAATAATGAACTAGCAAATATTAATGTTATATTTTCAAACATAACCAATACCGTTATCATCACCGCATCAAAATCATTGCCAAAATCATCTTTAAAAACATTTGAGCAATAGCAGCAGCAGCATCAGTAGCGATAATAACATTTTTATACATATCAACTCAAGAATTAAAAAAAAAAAATAACTTTCGTTTTTCTTTTCTTTTTCAGATTCTGTCCGTTTATTACATAGAAAAAGTGCTTTAGTGGAAAGCTCTGTAATCGGTAAAACCGGATCATTGACTGCAGATGAACGTGATGAGATTACAACTCTCGCTAGACGTCTGTTATGTTATTTGGATCAAAAACCGCTACGCTTCTCACATATATTAACATTGAGTAGGCAAGTAATTTCAATGCTTCTCTTCACCAGCGTTTCACAGAGAAGAAAAAACAATTTCTAACAA